TCCAGCTAAATTAGGACCCCACCTAGAGCTCCTCCCACTGGACCAGCGCTGACTCGCCGCTGCTCTCCCGCGCCGCTCGCCGCTGCTCTCCCGCACTGAAGGTAAGTGAAAAAAAAACAAAAACATAGCGCAAACATCGGGGCATTTTAACAAGTACATTACTTGTCAAAATGCCCTGTTTTTTCCGCCCTCACCCTGCAGCGCCGTAAGGCGGCTGCCTGACTTGCCTTGCGGTAGTGCCGGGCCTGCAGCTACCTCCTCATGTATCACTTCCCCCACCCTTTTCGATTGTAAGCCCTCAGGGGCAGGGCCCTCCTTACCATCTTGTCTTGAATTTGTATTGTGATTGTAATGTCTTCCTTATATTGTGGAGCGCTGCGCAAACTGTTGGCGCTCTATACATCCTGTATAATAATATTAATAATAATATATCTGTGATGGGATCTTTCCACCCCCACTGATGCACAGTCTTCGACAGGCATCACTTGCTGACTGTAGACCTCTATATTTATGATGTCCAGAGATTACCACAGGCCACATCTTATTTCAGTGCAGGTCCACTTATGGATTGTGGACCTCTATCAACATGATGTAGTGTGACTTATTTTCATGATAGAGATATTTTTCTTCAAGAGTTGCTTCAGAAATTACAAACATTGCAAAAATACAGAACGTGTGCAAGATAAAAAACACAATATAGTTATTTTATTCCTGCTTTCAACATGCTTAGAAAATTACTGGTGTGAAGCCTGAATCTGTGCAGTACTACTTGCAGCCACTGGAGGGCAGTCATTAACTACAGAAGCTGCAAGGTCCCAATCCAATTATCTCTGGTTCTAAAACAACACACCCTGACTTTATGTCACTTAAGTCCTCATTCACACGAGAAACGGCCGACGCGTATAGCTCCGTGCTGTGTGCACGACCGTATCGGGCAGCTCCCGGGAAGGACAAGTGGTGCGTATGATTAGTACGCAGCCACTGTCTTTATGGCACTACGCGGCCGTACGCCGCCCTACGCTGGCCCCAAGTGCAGGTCCGTACAGGTGCGGGTATCCCGGCTCGGACGCAGACAGGATGCATCCTGTCAGCGTACGAATATGGACACCCGCACGGACGTGTAGGGCGGGTGAGCATAGGGCAGCGTACGGCCACGTACTCCCATAGAGAAGGACGGGGCTGCCTACAATCACACACAGCACCTGTCCTTCCCGGGAGCTGCCCGATACGGTTGTGCACGCAGCAGGGAGGTTGCATATCTAATTGATTTAAATGACATAACCTAATTATGAACATTTTTTTTACATTTTTGTGTTGGTGTGCCACCCCTATGTCATCATTGGGTCTTGGATCAAAAATGTCGAGTGATGTCAGGCAGAAATTGGTCAGGGATTCATTAAAGCTGCCCCTGTTCTCACTGATGATACTCTGTTTTCACATTTCACTGATGTCCGGCCAAGGGCTAACACTCATAATTATTCTATGAAAACACCTGGCTGCACATTGTGTCTAGACCAGGGTTGGGAAAGTCCGGCCTTCCAGCTGTGCTTTAACTATAAATCCCATCATGCCTCTGCCTCTGGAAGTCATGCCTGTAACTGTCAGTTTTGCAATGCCTCATGGGGCTTGTAGTTCTACAACAGCTGGAGGGCCAGAGTTGCCCACCCCTGGTCTAGACTGTGATTAAATCAGCAGCTTACTGATAAGGTACTCCCTGTGTCCTCTCCACCAATCATCAAGCTCTATTTCACAGCCCTATGTAATACAGTTTAAAGTAGTATTAAACTCAAAATATGTTTTCAATAATAAATCGAGATCAAATAAATGTGCATTGGCCAGCAAAGTATTTCTTTTACATTTTTGCACAAGCACTTAGTCATCATGTTTCTGAACAGTTGACTCCAGCTCTCTCTGCTCCACTTCCCTGTACTTCCTGTCTAGTACAAGATCAAAAGGAGAGCACAGTCTTCAGCAGCCATCCATCGACTAGCTTGGAGAAAAGATGGAGGAGGGAGACGAGAGAGGGGAAAAATAAATAAAGGCAGGGTGAGGAGAACTGTCTTGTCTTGCTGTGCCTGTGTGTTTGTGGAGACACACACAGCTTACTAGCTCCATAAGACTCTGCAAGGGAAAGGAGCCACCCTAAAACAGGATATCAGGGCCAGTGCTCAGGGGACCAGCTGATTCTGCAGGAAGCTAAAACCTTTAAACTTCAAGGAGCAGCATCCATTGTAAGTGATTCAATCTTCATTTGCAAGAGCTTAAAAACATTTGACTTGAATATCCTTTTAAAGGAGAACTATGTGGTTAAGTCTGCTCCCCATAGTTCTCCTTAGGGTAACGGGAGGAAACAAACTAGCGTCCTCCCGTCACCCTAGGCTCAGTATACCACGAGCTACAGCTATACTGATACACCGCAGTATACCGCGAGCAGCTGCTCGCGGTATACTGAGACACCGCAGCTGAAGCGGATCCCAACAATTATGTCTGGATCCGCCCAGCTGCGTGACTGACAGCTGGCTCTGCCTATCTAAAGGCAGAGCCAGCTGTACCCGCCCCCGTCCGTTCCATCAGTTAGCGCTGGCGGAGCGGGGAGGGGGAAATCCAGGCCCTCCCCTGTCACGGCAGAGAGCTGTGACAGGATCGAGAGGTGAGCGAACGCCGGTATGTGTTCGCTCACCTCCCGATCTACTGAGCCGACCTGTGACAGTCTCATTGTCACAGGTCGGCTAGAACTATGAGGCGAGTGAAAATCATTCACCTTATAGTTCTCCTTTAAGTAAATGTATTATAATCAAATACACCATAGGATCATCCTTGGTATACCCTTAACAACCAGTAGTCACCTGTAAGTGTTTTATTTACAGCCTTGCCATCCCTGCCCACCATGTTTGTTTCACCAGGGCAGGGATGGCCCACAAAGGCAGCACCACATTCTCCCTACTCACTATTAGCACCCCAACCCTTCTCCTATGGTAGGATTAGCAGCAGAAGTGGAGGAGGAGAAACAGGACTAATTAACAACTTTTTACATAAAGGCTGCTATGTGCCCTTATCTGAATTATTTGTTTTATTTTTCAGAGTTGTGGCAGCACACTCAGTAAATCTTAGGCTTTATAAATGTCAAGCACTGTGTTTGAATCCCTAAAAATGTGTGTGCCAATCATCTACAGCTCTGGTTTTTAACTGGTAGGTTGTGACCCAAAAGTGGGTCTCAGCTCTGTGTCCAGTAGGTCACCTTGTGCCTTAAACTGCGCTAGTTGAGAGGCTCCTCAACCTCCCCCTAACGCAGCACTTTCTATTTTCGCACCAAGCAGCCTTTAAAAATATCCTGCCAGGCCCTGCGTGTCAGCTTGAAATGGGGTGGGGGTACGGCCACGGGGGAGCTCCAGCCATACATGCATTGCTTGTAGCTCTCTCACGTGCCCTGTAGAGGTGCCTGGTACCAGAGTGACATCACATTTTGGCTCCCGGCACCTCTGCAGGTATCACAAGGGAGCTGTACAAGCAATGCACATATGGATGGAGCTCCGTCACAGCACAGCAGCCCACACTGGACCCCAGTTCTCGTGAGGTAGGGAGACTCGGTGGATCTTAAAAAAAAGAGAAAAAAAAGAAAACATTTTTTGGGATTGTGTATGTGTGTGTTAGATTGTGTCTGTGGTTGTGTGTGTCTGTCTGTGTTTTCGAGGGCCCATTCACACTAGTACAGTGCTTCAAATTGCACAGTCCTGTGCGATTAATGCACTGTATCACACAATTACACCTATCATGTGTTTTGGTGCAGGAGGTGCATTGCTTTGTCATCCATTTGAATGGCACCCCAAACGCACCTCCTGCCCACAGTTCGGTTGGTTGCACTCAATCATACAGTACTGCAGTGCCGTGCGTTCCGTTGCAATGTGACTTGGGTCGAGGCTTAACGACCAACAACAAATGTGGGTCAAGAGGTTACACAGGTTAAGAAACACTGTGCTACAAGGTCTACAAATGATACATTTTTTTTCAATATAAAATAAAACATTTTTAACTTCCCTTTCGCCCATGTAAGGACCAAGAATATTTTACTAGTAGATGTAAAAGTTATGAGCTCAATGCAAATATTACTAATCCATGTTAGAAATGTTGTTATATATAGTTTTCCTTTTTGGTCCCATTTTCAACATGCTTATGATAACTAATCGTGACGAAAGCGTAAGCAGTGCAATACTACTTATAGCCACTAGAGGGAAGCAAATTACTCCAGAGGCGGCAAACTCACACAAAAATGGCCTTTATTAGATTAGATCTGCACCCTAGAAATTCAATTTCTGGTACCGAGAGAGTTAGCTATTCATTGGCAGTGGCCGCATTTGCACAGATGCTGCTAGTTGGATGATAGGTGATAAGCAGTTAAATGTCCCAGTAGCAAAGAGATGAAATCACCATTGTAGCCCTAAAGGTAAAACTGTACAAAGTTTTTTTGTTTAATTGAATGTTTAGCAGATTTGAATGATGTAAGCTAATTATACAAGGTCTTACACCATCAACTGATCTGGTGCCTCAAAATCTAACTGCACCCTTTCTGAATGACTGAATGACAGATAGGCAGGTCTGCCAGCAACAGGTTTTATAACACAGAATCAGACTACTGTACAACGCTCAGGTGGGAACCATGCCCATAGGCAATTATTGGTTTTCACATGTTGAGCGTTTTACAGCGCGTAGGAACGCGCTGTAAAACGCCCAGGTGTGAACCCGGCCTAAGAAGGAATGGCACCACAAAGCACCAACGCACATAATGCATGTTACCACAGCACAGCATTGTGAACCTGACTGAGAACAATTCTTCTGATTCAAAGCATGGATTGCAGAAGCTAATTATCATTAATGAGCGCTTATAAGCTCCAGGTGATATACATCTAGACCAAGGGAAAAAACACCTCTTCTTATAACTTTCTATCTGTGAATGAACTACGGAGTGCACTCCCTTTACCAGTGTCATATTTATCTGAGCATTGATGGAGGACGCGGCTATAGCCTCATCATCTGCTGCATCATCTCATGATAAAGAAGATTTTTGCTGTCCAGTGTGTCAGGAGATCTTCCAGACTCCAGTGAGAACTCAGAGCTGTCATCATGTGTGAGTAGCTGATCTGTGGGAGATATTCACTCTATAGATGTGTTTTGGCTGGAGTCACACTGCTCGGCGCATGTTTTTACGTGGTTATATCTGCGCAGGTGTCCAATCACCTGCAAAAATCGCCATCTTTGTAACTCTGCTTTTAATTTAGGGCGATAGCCTGCTTTCATATTGTGCAGCCGTACTTTGTCTTCAGATATTATTTGTTATGTAGGTTATACTTCGTGCAGGAGTTACTACATGATGAGATGAAAGTGTTTTAACATGGGG